GGGGGGGGGGGGGGGGGGGGGGGGGGGGGGGGGGGGGGGGGGGGGGGGGGTGAAGGCACTCGCTTAGCAGGCGAGCATCCACTCTCTTCTCGAGTTTCCTCGCTTTTTCGTGGAATATTTAAAAAGCAAATCTTTATTTGCCTTAACTCGGTCCTAGAACTCCGGAGTGTGCCAGATTTGAGACCGTGGACGAGTTCGGCCGACGCAGAACCGTTTTTTCGAACCGATCGTTAAAAAAAAATAGAGGGCAGGCGAAAGGCGGGAACTCCTTTGCGTTCCGCTCCGCGAACCGACGAGGACTTTATTGCCCTTTCTCTTTCGCCGCCTTTCGAGTATGGTTCAAGGCTCAAGGCTTTCCAGTTTACAAGAATTTTTTGATCGATCGTCGCTACCGAAAACCACCCTCGACGAAATTCTTATCGTTCTTCTTACGGCAATCTAATCGGAATCATGAATTTAAAGCCGACGAAAATTCATTTCTCTTTGAAAAATGCGAGAAGCTTAATGAAGAAGCTTAATAAATAAACACGGTAATACAAACACGGTAATACCTGACGCAACAAATGAGCATTTTATCTCCAGCCAGTGAGTGTGGAAAGAGACAGGAACCAAAAGAATGGGAATTTCCCATCACGAGTCGAATCCGCGTTCCCCGTGGTTAAGGGACGAGATTTCAGAAATAACGATAGAAATCGAGCCGCGAACGCCGCGAACGCCGCGAACGCGGAGCTCGTCGGATCGGGACATCGTCTGCTGCTTGAGTTTCGTTTTCGCCCGCACGAGATTTGGATCGATCAGATGATGTGAATTGTAGATTCTCATCCGTTCTGGAGCCTTGCTTTCTCGTGTGAAAAAAAACTATAAATTAATCGAAATGAAAAAAATATATAAATTAATCGCCGTCGTACGAGGGAATGCTCGTTCGACACCGTCCTCCGTGCCGTCTCGGTGGCAGCCGATAGAGCGAATGAGCCTGCAGGCCTGCCACGAAGCAGAATCGGTCGCTCGACTGAGTGTAGTTATCGAGAACGATCGGAAGTCAGAACGATTGGAGGTCGTTGGAATGACCTTCACGCATCCATCGGGAAGGGCGAAACCGTTCGCGGATTTCCCGCTCTCTTAAGGCGGAGCGAGACCAGAAAATGGGGGACGAGAGAGGGAGAGAGGGAGGCTTTCCGCGTGCCGTCTCACCCATCGGCTGACGTCGTACTGCGTGAGGAGGTCGGGGAGCTCGAGGTCGGCCGACACCTGGAGCTTGGCGCCTTCCAGGAATGTCACTTCCGGGGAATGGGACATCCGGATCTTTTCCAGTCCCGTCAGCTGGCCGTTCTTCAGGGTCACGTGGCCGTAGCTGCTGTCGTTCAGGAGCAGCGGTTGCAGGCCGTCCGATCTATTCCGCGAAAACGGAAGGGAAACGATCAGGATCGATCGAACGATCGACGAAGCGACGAGGAAATAAAATATCGGGGAAACGAGTGACAAACAGGTAAAATAGTGATGGGCTTCGGGACGAACGAACCCGACCGAATTAGTGATAAATAGATCGATGGAACGAAGATACGGAAAGAAACACGGATGAACTGACTGGATTTTCTTCTGGAGGTCGTTCACGAAGTCATTTTGAAGGTATTCCATGATGAAACGGACGGTTTCGTTCACTTTCTTCTTCTCGGCATCGCTGAGTTCTAGGACTTCAACATCGTTCCCGATGTGGTTCCCGTTGTTGTTGCTCCCGTTCCCATTGTTGCTTCCGGTCACGTTTTTGCTCCCGCTCACGTTGCTGCTCCCGCCCACGTTGTTGCTTCCGCTCACGTTTTTGCTCCCGCTAGCGTTGTTGTTCCCGCTCACGTTGCTGCTTCCGCTCACGTTGCTGCTTCCGCTCACGTTGCTGCTTCCGCTCACGTTGCTGCTTCCGCTCACATTTTTGCTCACGTTCCCACCGCTGCTCCCATTCCCTTTCTCTTTCCCGCTGTCTTTTCCGTTCCCGTTGTCTTTCCCGATCCCAATCGCATTCTTGTCCTTATTCGCGTTCCCCGCTGCCATTCCATCCGACACGACCAGCTGGGCCGACATCCCCACCGAGTTCAGCCCAAAACTCACGTCCAGCGCCCCGTTTTCTATCGAAACAAAGTTTCCACGATCGAAATGCTGACTTTTCCTGGGATTTCAATCATCGAACGCGGAATCGCGGGAATGCAAAAAAAAAAACCGAACTCGTGATATTCACGCAGAGAGATTTTCCATCATCGCTTCTCCCACGAAATCCCCAAAAATATTTATCCCTCTGCAAAATCTGGCAAAATCACGATCGAAAGCCAGAATCCAGGCTCGAGAAAATTTGAGAAACTTAACTCTTGCCCCGTCGTCGAGTCAGTGGCGGTTTCCGATTCTCCATCGCCGATTTCGGACGGAATCCACGTTCGAGCATCGCATCGCACGACTCGTTATGCAACGGAGGAAGCGCGAATCCTCTTCGGGGATCCTGCCACAAATGTGGACCTTCTCTTCCGTGCATTTTAAAGGGGTCAAAAACCGATCCTCAGATGCCACAAACGTTCCCAATTTGTTGAGAATTCTCATCGCAATCGGTACGACCGTTCCCCCAGCTTACAAAGTCCTCTACACCATTATTTCTTTTCCCGTGTCAAAAAATTCCTCCCCGAAGAGATTCGACCCCAAAAAAACGGAGACTCGACTCGACCGTACCGTGCTGGACGACGCTGAATCCCTTGTCCACCGCGTCGATGCTCCTGTCCATCACCTCCGCATCCCCAGCATCCCCAGGAAAGGCTTTTCCCTCCGCATCCTCCACGACGAAGACGAGGACGGAAAGGCATCCCAACACGGCCGTACGTCGATCGAACTTCATGGTTCAACGATTTTCCACCGCCTTTCGATCGGTGAGTTTCAAATCGATCGGGGCGTTCTCGAGCGGTAATCGTCCTTCCTTCGTTGGCTGATTATGCTTAATGCTTGAGAGGTGTCGATATTTCCGCCTGGAAGTCGTCATCGAAAGAGGAAAATAAATAAAAATTTCTCTGGAAGTATCGAATCGAATACAAAACGGAAAGAGAATCGTAGAGAGGCTTTTCGGGCAGACTAAAAATGACGTATGCCTGATGCAGAGGTCACACGGAGCACGCAAAATTAGTGCCGATGCTTGCCTTAAAAGCGGCACGCGTCGATTCGAAAAGCGCAGGAATTTCGCGTCCGAACGGGAAACAGAAAGGGAAGAGATCGAGAGACTCACCGTCGCTTGTCGTCCGGTCGAGAGTAGGACTGGGGGACGCCGTGCGTGCAACGGGGAATAAACAACCCCGGCGAATCGATGAATCGATGCACACTGACGATACGGGGAACTACGTGCTTTCCCGGAATCCCTAATTATTAAATAAAGGGAGGAACGGAAACCGCATTCAAGGGCGGAACCGACTCCAGCGCTTTCATCTCTGTCCAAGATCATTCTCGTCTTGCGGAAAATATGGGAAACAAAACATCCTTTTTTTTTCTTCCTCCTTGCGATGGCATACTTAATGACTGGGTCTTTCGTGTTGTGCCGTGAGATCGAACGATGTTCATCGATCTCGATCCATTTTCCGCGACCTTGTAGACCTTTTCGAGGAAGCCGATCGAGCGGTCCGCCCTTGCCCTTCGAGGGCCCTTGCCCTTCGCGCCTTGCGTCCTTCCACGTGCATCCAAGTGTTACATTTCGCGGAAACGTCGTGACGCGTCACGTTTCGACTCTGCTAAATCGTGATTCATCGGCGGATCGATCCGACGAACGCCGTTGGGCATCCTTCCGGGAAACGTATGGAAATACTATGGTCCTCGGCACTGAAAATCTGCGATCGAACGGGCCCTCAGATGAATCCCGCGAGTTCAATTTAAAATAGGTGAAATGTGGACGTCAATGCAAATGAATCTGTAAACTTGAGAGAACTAACACAATCGAAGCACCAAAACTGAAGAAAAAGCGCCTTCCCATTTTTTCCTTGCCCCCCCCCCCCCTCTCAACCCCCTCACCCCTGCACGAAAAGCGAGAGGGGGGGGAGGGATTTGCTTCTTATCAGTTTTGTTGTTCCGGCCTGCCCAGAGGGGAAGGCCGAAGGTAGAACTTGCCCGAACCTCACATATCAAGTCTCCAAAGAGACCCAATGCCAAGGTCCTAAAAGAGCCCATCCAGCCCTTGCATCCAGCCCTTGCATCCAGCCCTTGCATCCATACGGTGGCCTCCGAGGGGTCTCCAAGGGGCCTTAGGTTAAGTTAAGGTTTTGCCCCGAGACTCTGGAAACCTCTGGGCGGGCCCGCCGGCCTGTGGAAAATCCCAATCGGAAAGGAACCGATACGCGAAAGAAGCCGAGTAGTCCGTTACGCTTCCGCGTTTCGCTTCGTTACGCAAAGAGTACGTTTCTTGGTAATACCCTATTTCATAATAAGTACAATACCGTAGATTGCATCCGCCCATTCATTCGTTCGTTCGTTGTTCATCCGGATGCATCCTGGGTGTGGCAACACGGAACAATGCCGCAGACAATCGCGGGGCACGAGGATCGGGAAAGCGTAGTGTCAAGTTCATGCGATCGCCAGTTGGAATGCCGGATGGGCATTTCGGCACCATCGTGTACTGTTCGGTATCACTCTTGTAACATTGGGGGGAGCAAAAAACTGGGTTCGCCTGAATTCTCGGTCTCGCGGGGCGACACGAGGTCCTCGCTCACGTGAACGAGTGAGTGGAAGACACCTCCAACCGGCCCTCTCGCTCTCGAGAGATCAGGAATGCAGTACTCGATGGAATTTTATTCACACTTAGAGATCCCGATGATGGAACGGATAGGGATCGTAGGAGTGGGCCCGACGAGCCTCGTGAACGGTCTTGACGAAGACGACAGCGGTGAGAACGCAGAGGACGCACACGATCCCCATCGCCCAAGCGAGCTGGAAGACGGATGGCGGAAGCGGGCGGAGACGGTTCGCTCCCGCTCCCGGAAGCGCTCGGATCTCCACTTCCGTCCCTCCCCGTCCTCCTCGTTCCTCCTCCATCCCCTGGAGCGCTTCTCCTCCGAACACCTGCTCCGCGGAGGTCATTCGGCTGCATGAGGCCGTCGGGAGAAGACGCGAGTTTTTAATCGAGTGCCTCGAAAAATCCTTCGTTAGCCGCTTTCGTCGTACCGAATTCCGAGCGACGAGGAAGCAAGAAGTGATCGAAGGTAGAAAAAAGAGTCCCCCCGGTAAAGTCTAAATTTCAATTATTCCGGTTTTTGTGCTAACAATTGCCGATCGTCGTGGTGAAGCGAGAGTGTGAATAGGTATTTTCATGAGGGTATTAGGTATAGGTATTTTCATGAGGGTATTAGGTATTTTCAATACCCTCAGACGGGCGGAAACATCAGTAGACGATGCAAGAAGGCCTACTCTCACGCAAACATCGTAGCGTATAGCAGAATTTATTAGTTACAGTTTTATTACTGTTGAAACTTAATATCTCGGGTGGATATTTAGATGCGATGAGGACATGGTACGTCGCCGAATATGCGGTCTGGTTGGAAAGTTCCAGGAATGGTTCTATGGCTACTTTATTCCTTAATATACACCTGCCAATTCTCGTGCGGATCTTGTATTTAATCTTGGGAGTGCATGATAAGAAAATATTGGTTATTGGTTTTCATTCAGATTTTGTTTTGGAATGAAATATGTGAAAAAATGAATCTTCGCTCCCCCTGACGAAAATGAATGAGACATTTGTTAAGACATTGTTAAGGAATTCAGATCACCGTGTAGTTTTGCACGAAATTAGGGAAATAGGCCAATGTTGCAGTTTTCGGCTGCTTATGGAGCAGATGCTACAGACTACTCCACCATATTCCATTGGTACAAACGCTTAAGAATAAAAGGCAAAATATGGAGTCATCGGGAATGACCCTAGCTCAGTTCGTCCATGAATCAATCGTCAGGGTCAGTCGAATTGCAGGAAAACCACCGAGAAATCAGAGTGATAATTTATAAATTCTCTCAGAGCTTCGATGCCTTTTATGGCGCCTTTCAGGAAATTTTCGCCAACCTCGGCAATTCATATTAACCCTTTCACTACCGAATGAGTAACGTAAGTAGCACGCAACCTGAACCCCGCGAACTGCCATTAGACTTACCACATGCCACGAATTTGCGGGCTCTAAGGGAAAGGCATCGAAACATCAACACAAAGTTTAGCTTTCCTTGCCTCCTTTGGCAGCAATCGTAGGCGGGCCCCCCCCCCCCCTCCCCTTCCCCCCCTCCGTCAGTCCACTTTTTTTCGTAGCTAATTCTCCCGATTGCAATATCGTAGACGCGTCTTTGTCTGATAGAATCTGTCGGCTCTCGCTTTTTAAATTGGAGTTGCAGACCGTCGGGCCTCCAGGAAACCGTGTTCGAGAGTTTCCCAACATCCTCGTCGAGCACCTCTGCCTCAGAGGTTCCCCGGGTGCGTCCCACATCTTCCCACTTCCGAGCGAGATTTCACGGCGATTAGAATTTTTCATTCGGGAAAAGCAATTACGATCTCGTTTCCACCAGAGGCAATTAAAAATCAGTAAAAATCGAAAATAAAACCTTCAGTTAATATGTTGCTTCGATTCGCACCCAAGACACGACACGACATCCCCACGAGAATCGGCATCCGCTCGTAAAGGAATGAAGAAGTTATCGAATTTGTCGTAAACTTTTCGACCGGACCCCGTACAGCATGACCAAATGCCACAGTGATGGATTTATGAAAATAATGAGAAGCGATGATTCGATCCGGCGTCCAGGTTCAATTCTGCTACGATATTTAAACCGTAGATGCAGCAGCAGAGGAAGCGAGGAGTGGGGGGGGGGAGGAACTACACGAGTGACATCTAGCCATGACGGTCGGAGTCTTCGTTCGGCTCTTTCTCCAATGGAGGACGCCAACGGTCCTTGTTTTTCATGTGCAATCAACTCCCGCCCACCAACTCGGAAGAACTCGGGAGATTTCCAATAGTAATTTTGAATAAAACGTGCGCTTTTGAGGAGCAGTTGACAGCAAAGACGCATGCGTCCTTCACCCGTCGACCCAACGAGATTCCTGACAGACATTTCTGCAAGCGTTTTAGATCGATTTTTGTATAAAATCGAACGAAAAATAGACTGAGGTTTCCGTGATCGTGACTTTGGATACCATTGCGGAATGGAACTCCGGAAAGAAGGTAAAATAAAGCATTATTAAACTCACTCGAGAAGGTAAGTGACTCAGTTATAGCTCCTTTTTTATACTAAAATTATGCATGTAGGCCTATCTTTTGAAAAAACCGGTTGAATGCTTTCTTTCCGCGTCGCAGAGAGGCAAAGAGCAAAGCGAAAACTCGCGTCGTCGGCAGTACGAGAAATTCCACGAATGATCTTCGTCGTGGTGCGCACACGCGAGACCGGAAAAATCGGGTTTAGGACCGATGCGACCGAGCAGAAGCTGATGCATGCGGACAATCAGGTATCGTCACGCCACAATAGCGTCACGCATCTCGACGGCGATTCACCACGAACAGACACCCCGAAGAATCTCCATAGAAAGACCGCATTCGCGAGGAGATTCGCTTCGTTCCTCCGTGCAACGGTCTCGAACGAGCCGTCGCGCCTTCGGACCGTTCCAAGCACCGATGGAACCCGGATCGAGTCGTTGCCACGACGATCTGGGATGCGTGTTGCGGTTTCGGGGCGTGTGACGCGTTGGCGACGGCATCGGCTTCTGCTCGGCGAAATTTGCCTCGATGTCGAGTGACCGCTTGAGATTCGGCAGCATGGGGGAAAGAATGAGCATTCCCCATCGACATTTAGCTCCGAGCATTCCCCGGAGGAATGAGGAGTCCCTCCTCGTCGACTCGTTCCATCGTTTAAGTATTCCGTCGCTGTCTCCGACTACGAAGGGAAAACCGATGAGGAAGGAGAAACTTTCCCGTCGTGGTCCCGAGGCCCTTCTCGACCCTTTTTTGCCCTTTTTCTGCCCTTTCTGCCCTTTCTCCCATGCCTCCGGGAAACCTTTCCCTCGACCGTCACACGAGCAACCGGGAAGAAATTCGAGACGAGTTATCTTCATTTACGAGACGCGAGCCAATGAGGAAATTCGAATCGGTCTCCGGACGCCTCGTGGCAGTTTCGCGGATATTCCCGCGTCGAAAGAGGAATGGATCGGGTTTCATGGCACAAGGGCAAACAAGCTTAGGAGAAATCCAAATTTAAGTCGTACGGCGGGAAGCACTTGGCGTGATCCTCAGTGGTGTGAAAATCTATGTAGTGGATCACTGCGTCAGATCTAGTACCGACACGAGCAAAATACATAGGAATATCCCTCGACACAGGTGCAA